GAGTAATCTACACTAAACTATAAAAGTTAAACAAAACAGAGAATACCTGTAAGGAAATCACTAACTTCTAAGAATGCTACGCAATAAGATGCTTGGAAACGATCACAGCTTTGCTCTTCACAGGTAACCCCTATAGCAGACAAAATATAAATTTTATTAAAATCATATTAATAATTAACCAAGACAAAAATACTAGATAATCCACCAAAACAAATCATATTAAAAATACTAGATAATCCTTAAACCAAAATGACACCCTTACTAAACATTGAGAAATCCTAACTAAACATATAAAACCATAATAACATATCATATAAACATTGAGAAATCCATACTAACATATCAACATATAAAACCATCAACATATAAAACCATAATAACATATAAAACCATATCATATAAAACCATATTCATGTTGGCTACTCTCTTAAAAAATAGGAATTTCCAAACTATATTGAAAAAAAATATGCTCTATCAAGTTACATTAATATTTTTTAATTAATTAACTATTCATTTTCTCTCACTTTTCCCTTTCTTTTTTTATTCTATTCATTCTCCATTTGTACAACTTTTATCAATCTCTTCCATTCTTTATTCACCTTGCAAAACTATCTACCACTTAGCCATCACTTAACAACACTAACATTCATCATCATATAAACTCACCACTAATTTTCATTCTCCATTTGTATAACTTTTACACACTATCTTCACTTTTTTGATTCTATTCATCTCTCACTATCGACTAACCTTCAATATCTCACTATCGTAGTGTATTGGTTCTATTCACCTTGTTTCTAATTGTACTCTTGTTCTGAATTTATCAGTATATTGAATCAAAATATATAAAAACAACAAACAGTTCCCAGGACAATTCATTAGTTTCAATCCAAACTCTTGTTTTTCAATCTAAAACATACAAAATATCCGTAACAATGACAGAGAGACTTAACATGTAGATTAAAATACAAAATATATAACATGCAACAGAAAGACTTAACATGTAGATATCCATACAACAAGATGACAGAAAATGACTTAACTTGATTGCATTCAAATAATAAAAACATATTCAGTTTGTCTTAAAGATTACAGCAACAATGGTGAAAATATACGTAAAAAAGAAAACCAGAGTAAAATTCAAATACCGTAACAATGGCGGAAATGCAATGCAGACGAGCAGAGGGACGGTGAACGGCTGCAAATGCAACAAACGAGGGCGACGGTTAGACGGACGATGACGGTTGGACGGCGACGGTTGGACGGCAACGGTGGTTTATAGGGCAACGCTCTTTGTTCGCCAGAGAAAAAGAAAGAAAGCAACGTAATATGACTGTTCTGTTTCTCATAAAAATTCTGGTGGGTATTTTAAATTAATTCTAATAAACCTATAGCAGCGCTTTTTAATAGCTTTAGCAGCGCTTTAAAAAGCGCTCTCAAAAGCTTTAGTAGCGCTTTATGGAAAAAGCGCTCTCGTAGACCATACCTACAGCAGCGCTTTAGAAAAGCGTTGTCTTTGGGCTGTCTTAGACCCCCCATGTGGCAGCGCTTTTTGGAAGCGCTGTCTTAGGACCCCCCTTTAGCAGCGCTTTTTAAAAAGCGCTGTCTTTGGGCTGTCTTAGACCCCCCCTTTTAGCAGCGCTTTTTAGAAGCGTTGTCTGAGGACCCCCATTTAGCAGCGCTTTCTGAGAAAGCGCTGTCTTTGGTTATCAATTTTTTTCTTTTTTATTATTCCTCTTTAGTAGCGCTTTTTCTAAAAGCGCTGTCTTTGTATGCGCTGCTAAATGTCATTTCTGGCGTAGTGTCAAGACCAAAGTTGCTTTATTTTCTCATTCATTTGCATTTTAGTCATATAAGTTACAAATAGAATTAATTACAAAAAGAAAAGCAATAAAAGCATGATAGAAACCAAGTCTATTTTACAATAAAAATTATAAAAAAGAAGTAGTAGTGACTCTTGTTTTTGTTGCAAATAAAAAAAATCAAAATACAAAGAAAATACGACATAGGCGCATGGACTCTCCAAGTCTTGGTTATGTCCATAATAGCTTGTCTTCTTGTGCATGATAGCCCTGCTTTGGACAGGTTTTGTCCTAGGCATAGACAACAACATTGTAACATGATTATAGATGCAAATAAGAGTCAAACAGATAAAGCAAATGAAGTGTTCTTCATGGTTAACAACCTGACACAAACATACACCAAACTAAACATATTTCTCTGCAAAAAAGTAAGGCAACTCCAATCCTTTCCCTTTCTATCAAACACACAAGTGCAAACCCTAATATGAAGATCAAAACATAAATATAAAAAGAAGAGGCAGATTCATACAGAAGGGGACCAAAAAATTTGAAAAACCACAAGTATCATAAAAACCCTTTTAACAGATAAAGAATGACCGAAAAATTTGAGAAAAAAAACACAGAGGCAGATATGGGAAAAATGAATTAATTGTATAGTTTGTGAGTCACTCTAGATATATTTGATTAGCATGTTGGATGTAAATATGTATTATTCTAGTAAATATGTATAGTTTTTGTTATGACATATAATAATGTGTGTCATTTTAGTTTTGATATAAATATTTTTAGATTTTATTTTTCCTTGTAGCCAATAAATATATGGTACAAAATATGTCACTTAGGATTTGTTTTTGAATAATACAAATTATAATTAAAAATATATATAAAATTTTAAAATATATATATATATATATATATATATATATATATATATATATATATATATATATATATATATATATATATATATATATATATATATATATATATATATATTTTAAAATTATAAAGGATTTCACATCGGTTAATAGTCCTAATCGATGTGAAAAATGACCCTCTAATCTCTATCATCTTGGTTAACAACCCCAATTGAGGGGAAAAGTGAGAGATTTCACCTCACTTTAAAGTCATAACTGTGAAATGTGAGGGATTTCCACTCAGGTAACCTCTCAATCGAGAGGAAAAGTGACGTACTTTTTAGTTTTCGCCTCATCTAATAGACCGAGGCGAAATATAGAGTTATCATAACATCCTGCGCTATATGGATTCCTTGTCTGAGGAAAAAGCCTTATCATAACCTAGGTAAGAAGTTTTTTCTAATAGTACAACTAGTTGCTAGCCCAACACTTTCTCTAATATTGTCATTTCTAATCTTATCTCGTCTAGTCTTACCATAAATCTAACGCAACATCCACATCTCAATTATATTTACTTTATTCTCGTGTAGGTTCTTACCTACCCAACATTCTGTCACATACAACATCGCATATCTTACTCTTGTTCGAAAAATTTTCCCTTCAGATAAAACCCCTAAGACACTCCCCCATTTCAGCCACTCAACTTGAATTTAATGGTTTTCACCCTCTTCTCTATCTCCATCATTTTGTATTGGACCAAAGATATTTAAATGCGTGACTCGTGGATGGTCTCCAACTTTTCCTTCTAGGTTAAAAATGCTTCCTCTTTTTCCAAACATACATTCCATATACTCCTTACTTTTGGCTTAGGAAAAAGTAATGCATTATTAAAACTCATCTTCAAGTCTTCAACCTCATATTTAAATCCTCATTTGACTCTCAAAATAAAATTATGTCATTTGCAAAAAACCATACATCTTGATGTTAGTTTTTGGATGTTTTCTGCAAGTATATCCAAAATTAAAGCAAAAAGATCTTAAGACCGAACATTGGTGCAATCTTAAATAATAGGAAAATAATCGTTTCTCCACTCTTTGTTTGTACACTAGTGAATATCCCTTCATATATGTCTTCTATAGTTTGAATATAGAAATATTCAATACTTTCTTTTTTAGGATTTTCCACAAAATTTCTCTAAGTACGCTATCATAGATTTTTTTTTTAATCTATAAAAATTAAGTGCATGTCTTTTTCTTTTATACTATATAATTTATATATATATATATATATATATATATATATATATATATATATATATATATATATATATATATATATATATATATATATATATATATATATATATATATATATATATATATATATATATATATATATATATATATATATATATATATATATATATATATATATATATATATATATATATATATATATATATATATATATATATATATATATATATATTGTTAGATTGAAAATTTAATATGGTTAACTAAATTCAATTTTAATTAATTTTGTGTGTGAATTTTTAGATGGCGTTTGCCAACTCTATGTATATTACAAAAACAAAAAAGTTTTCTGTTTATACTAAATTTTAGACAGACCTTATATAACTTGAATAGAGTTTTTTAAAATTTAAATAAAGTTAAACACTGTCTCTATAAAACAACACCTTTGCAAGAATGTAATTGTTACATATAATATACATATAGATCTAGAAAGAGATAGAGTGAGTTGGAGAGAGATTAAAGAATACAAAATAATTTATAAAAAGTAGCAACTCTATATCAAGACTGTATTCATAAGAATTTTATACAAAAGAAGTAATCACAAACGACAAAAGAAAACATATTAAGAAAGAAGTAGTTGGCACAGTTTCTATCAAACCAGAACCTTTTCACAACACGAAAGAGGGAAGAAAGAGGTCTATACAATATGTCAAACCTTCTAAAAAAAACCATCTCAACAATGATTAAAAAATGAAGAATTACACATGTGTGGAATTAACATAGTTAATGAGTCAAGTCAACTATGCAAAAAATAACAACAGAAGAAAAACACTTTGGCACCATCTGTTGAAATTCCACACACCGACCTTGAACACAACAAAACAACCCTTGTGAAACAAATGAATCATACATGTGAAAATTTGAAAATAGATATCAGATTTTCCAACCACAGGACTTTCCTTCATGTATGTTATACTCCAGAATCCTTAGCAAGGACGAAAAAAGATTGAAAGCACTGTGATAAAAATAGTTGTTGAGTAAACTTATTGATGTAAATTAAGTAGTATAGTATTTCTTCAACTTGTTAATTATTTATTGAAGATTAATGCATGTCGTATGCTTCCCATTAGATCCTTCGCTGTCACACAGTTTTCCTCGTTCATCTGCAAGATAATTAATTAACTATTATGTTATGATCATCTTGGTTTAGACATGAATCTGATATATTAAAACTTTATGTACCTGAGCAACAATAGTTAGATCAACAATGTTGTTTCCGAAGGGCAATAAGTTAGTACTTTGGACAGTGAGATTTAGGGTTTCTAATTTTCCGAGTACCGTAGAGGTAGTGGCACGTCCACTGTGTTTGTCGCATTGAATTTTGATGAGTACATCTTTTCTTGAAACTCTTACTTCGATTTCAGGAAGTGTCTGGTTGTTGGAGTTGTTGGAGTTGCTGTCATCATCATGATTATTATCAGTGGAGAAGATAACAGATCGCTTCACTTGAATTGCAGATCCAGTTTTTTTGTTGTCTTCAACTTGTGCCTCTAGAGTATGCAAACGTGCTTGTAGTTTTTTCATATACATTATTGCATCTCCCAACACAGAAGCCTTATCCATCTACACATGTTATAAATTCATAAATATAAATAAAATAATTCAAAACATATATGTATATTATAGTCTGGTTTAACTTAATTAGGTTAAGTATTATTTGTGTTTATTCACTAATTAGGTTAAACTAGGATATCCAAATTTACTCTCTCAATAAAAAATAAAAATAAAACAAACCCAATTTGGATCTCAGAGATTACTTAAGACCATACCTTCTTGAGGCCAGGAAGGATGGCAGAAAGAGCAATGAAACTTCTGGTGAGCTTTTCTCTTCGTTTTCTTTCAGCCATTACATGTTCCTTTGCTTGAGTAGTGTTCCTTGTCTTACTCGTTCCGTAATCATAATTTGCTGAAAAATCTTTGTTTTCATTACACCCTTTCTCGAGTTTAGGCTTTACATCGGAATAATCATAGCTGTAAAATTGCTGAGAAGAAACTGGTGTTGCATTGAAGTGCTCAAAAGAAATGAGTTGAGGTGATGAATACGAAGAAGGTTTAGGGTTTGAGGCTATCAAGTGATCTTTGGTTTGTTTAGTGTCAATTAATGTCTTGATCTTCTTGGTTGGTCTATTTTGAGCAACGTAGTGATCATCAGGTTGAGTTTCGAGTGGTAAAGAATTTGGTGTAGTTTCGTAGTTGTTGTCAAATGGAGATGGAAGAAAATCCATAGGGTATTGAAGAAAGAAACTGAGATCCTCAAATTCCTATTCAAAAGTAATCAATATAAGAGTAAGTTTTTTTCATATATCTATCTATATGCAAAAAAAAAAAAAGAAAAAAGAATTTAAAGATAGACTAATTCGATAGATAGATAACATGTATGCTTACATGTTCAGGCACATAGATGGGGGACACAATTTGCATCATCTTCAGTTTCCTTCCAAAAAATTTGATTTATTTTGATATAGTGGTATGGTATGGGACATGCACTGAAATAGAGTGAAAAACAGAAGAAAAATAAAAATTGAGATCTTAGAATTGAAGAAAAATAAAGTCATGGAATGGAAGAAAAGAAGATTGAGAAAATAGGGTACCTTGGTGTTGAAGAAAATTAGAAGAGACAAGTGGATGAAGAAGAGATTATTAATTTTCTGAAATTGTAATTGTAAGGTGAGAAGTGCATAGTTATGAGTTTTATATATAGAGGCAGCATACACGCTTCATATACACGTGTGAAAATGGATCCATATAGTTTCCATTACGGCTGATACCCTTTACTCGTTTTTAAATTTAGTCAAACTATGGGTTCTATGGTCATCTTACTCTCCTTTTGTGAAATTTTAAGGTTTAAGTTTGTTGGACCATGAAATCATTCTGAAATCTAACATATATTGGGTTGTCTCAATGTTATATTCTCTTATTCAAGCTATAATGTTATAAGTTTTTGTATTATTGGTTACTTAGCTTCCCAAAATTAGTAAATTACCAATACTTCAAAAAATAAATAACAAGATAGAAATTAAGAGTTAGTTGAGTTAATGGTGTTTGATTTATACACACCGTCCAACTAAAATTTTTAAAATAACATATATAACAAGAATGTAAAGGTTTTCAATTGCAACATTGACTTTATTAGAAAACTACGCGGAAAATCTTCAAAGTCGAATTAATAAAAATTGATAAATGTGAAATTGAAACACAAACTTTGACAATGGAGTTCGACCAAATATGTCTATATCTCTTAGCTGTTGTATATCTTTCTATTGAAAGAAAAAAAATTACAACAAAGTGCTTACAGACACTACAATCTCTCACTATCCAAAATTCAATTAGACCTAAGAATTTCACTAATTAGAAATCTCTCTAATTCCTTTAAAATTCACTCAAGGTTATAATGTTTCTCTCTCAATGTAAGAATTTATTTCAATATTCACCATTACTACCTATTTATAAGTGATCTTAGTCTTGAATACTTTGATGTCCAAGCTACTTCATAACTAAGTAACTTCCTTCTTGACCAACATAACCAAGTTATCTTGGCGACCAAGTAACCTAACTTAGTGGCTAATTTTAATCTTGCTTCTTGGTTAAGATTGCTTCACAATAGGTAGTTAGTAATATTAACTAACAATCTCAACTAAATTGTCACCTCAAATCAATCAAAGGGTGACAGAGATGGAACTGGTTTGAAATAGATAAACTAAGGGTTAAAAGAGTTAGAGGTTGTATATGAGAATGCTAGAACAACAACCAATATAGAAGATTAAAGAGAAACTAAAGTAAAAATCAATGAATATGACTGATCTTTGTTAATGCACTTTGGTTAATGATTTCTACCTATGTGATTATAGAGCAACTATAATTCCCATGATTTTTGTCTTATGATATAAAGTTACAGTGTAACAAACAAAAAATATATACTTAAATTGTTAGATAATTCTTCTATGTCGAATGGATCCAGACTGAATCGTGAACGAAATCACTTTCCTTAAAAGTATTTCAAGCACACTCTCAGATTGTCTTAGAGTTGGAACGGCCTGAATACCCAGGATAAGTCAGCCTTTTTCTCGAAACTGCACAAGACTGATGAAGTTTCGAATGCAAGGAAAATGTTGGAATTATATGGAAGAGGATTTCAGAATTTGGAGTGAATGATTTCGAATTATGAAGCATTTATTTATAGCCATGCATGTGTCTTTTCAGAAGGTTGCAATTCTTCATAAACACACTCTCTAATGAGCATTTGCAATGGTTCACATAAAATATCATGCACCACTTCGTCAAGTGTCATGTATTTCAAATTCAAATTCAAAATCAAACTCTAGGCAGCGAATAAGTCTGAGCGATAATTAAAAATTAAATTCGCAGTATACCGGCCGAAGGCCGGTCCGCCCGCCGGAGGCGGCCGGAGCGCCACCGGCGCCGCCTCATTAACGCCGCGAATAGCCCGATTGCTCCGATGCGTCGTGCCTAAGTGCTCAAGTGCCGTCTACAAGCCGCCACTAGCGCCTCTACGCCCACGCCCCCGGTTCCGGTTCCGGTTCCGGAGCCGGAGCCGGAGCCGGAGCCGGTGTCGCCGGTGGCGACACCGGCGAGGGGTGTTTTGTATGAGACAAGTGACATAAGTTTTGGCACCACCACATGTGACTATGTGGCACTTTATCCTTTTTGGCTCTTTTGGAAATTACATTGTTCCAACTGCCTTATAAATGCTATTTAATTTTACTCCTCTTCCAATGTGGGACTAAGCATTTATTATAACACCCACTTTGTCATTTTGGAACAACTTTAATGGAAATAAATTATTATTTCCAACAATCCCCCACTTGTTCTAATAATGACAAAATAATAATTCCAGAAATGGGACATAAGAAGTATTAATACAGTTAAGTATCTTTCGATTTTAAACTTAACCTTAGTAAGAATAACACAAGGTTTAATCGGAATATTAGGTAGCAATGCTTTTAAACCATGAATCCATTTGAATAGACCGGTGTTACCTTACACACACTCCTTAAAGATTCTTCCTCTGCATAACTCGCTTAGCACTTATTTATGGCCATGTGCTATCCTGTTTCATGAATTTTTCATGAGAGAAACTCCAACTCTCACTTTGAGACGGCACCATCTCATAATTCACATAGGTGAAGTTCATATAGTATCTGTTTCCAATAGATACGTACCCTCGGTATTGAACTTCATTAAGAGTTTAAGATAAAACTCAACCCTCTTTTCTAATGTCAACATAATTATGAAATGTTAGACAATTATCCAAATCAACGACTTGTTGTTACCCATTGAAAATCTTAACGTTAATGTTCTGTTAACTTAAGATTGGGTTGCCGCCATTGTCGGAACTCTTACTCAAGGAGTTTCAACCCCATACCTCTCGAGGTTGTTCTTACTAAGTCTCTGGCCAGCGGCTTAGTAAACGGATCAGCCAAATTATAGCTTGTTCGTATATACGTAAGTGAAATGATTCCATCCTTAATCAGTTTTCTTACGAACGAATGTCTAAGTCCTATATGCCTGGACTTTCCATTATACACTTCGCTAAATGCTCTTGCCAAAGTGGCCTGACTATCGCAGTGTATCATTACCTTTGAAACATTGTCTTTAGCCAATGGAACTTCCAAAAGAAGATCCCTCAACCACTCTGCCTCTTGACTAGCGGAAGCGAGAGCCACGAATTCTGATTCCATGGTCGAAAGAGTAATGCATGTTTGTTTCTTGCTCTTCCAGGAAATTGCTCCTCCAGCTAGTGTAAATATCCACCCAGTTGTAGATTTGTGATTTCCCACGTCAGAGATCCAACTGGCATCGGTATATCCTTCTAGTATAGCAGGAAACCTACCATAATGAAGACCAAGATCTTTGGTTTTCAACAAATAACCAAATATCCTCGTGATTGCCTTCCAATGTTCATTACTTGGATTACTAGTAAATCTACTCATTTTACTAACTGCAAATGATATATCGGGTCTAGTACATTGCATTAAGTACATAAGACATCCGATCGCACTTGCATATTCTAATTGAGCCACTGCTCTTCCATCATTCTTTTCAAGTTTGATTACATGATCAAATGGAGTAGTTACTTCCTTGAATTTCAGGTGTTTGAACTTATCAAGCATTTTCTCAATATAATGTGTTTGATTAAGTTCATAACCCCCACTATTTTGCTTAACTTTTATTCCTAAAATTGTGTCAACAAGCCCAAGATCTTTCATCTTGAAAGTGGAAGTTAGAAACCTTTTTGTTTCTAGAATTCCATTAAGTCTATTGCTAATTATTAGCATGTCATCAACATAAAGACACAAAAATATTACAGTGTTATTATACACTTTTGTATATAAACACTTGTCACAAGAATTAGGAATAAATCCATTTGACATTATCGTAGAGTCAAACTTTTGATGCCATTGTTTTGGTGCTTGTTTTAAGCCATATAGAGATTTGACAAGTTTGCACACCTTCTGTTCATTTCCAGGAAGGACGTGTCCTTCTGGTTGTAGATTTCCTCATCGAGGTCTCCGTTTAGGAATGCTGTTTTAACATCCATTTGATGAACAATCAGATCATTTAAAGATGCTAAAGCAAACAACAACCTTATAGTGGTTGTTCTTGCTACAGGTGCATAAGTGTCAAAATAATCTATACCTTCCTTTTGTCTAAATCCTTTTGCCACTAATCTTGCTTTATAAGTGTTTAATGTACCATCACTATGATATTTCTTTTTAAACACCCACTTGCATCCAATGGGTCTTGATCCCTTTGGTAAATCAACAAGTTCCCAAGTGTGGTTGGACATAATTGAATCCATTTCATCTCGGATAGCATCTTTCCAAAAAGAGGAGTCTCTTGAAGCTATTGCTTCCTTATAAGTTTTAGGATCTTCCCCTACTTGAAGAATTACCGGAATGCTTTTAATAAAATTTGTATTATTTCCTTCAACCAGATAAAATGAAATGGATTGAGAATCAATTTCGTCTGGTCCTAGGTTCTTTATTTTCCGGACTCTTTTGCTTATCCTAGGTTCGGGTCGTGGTTCATTTATTCGAGATGTGTCTTCAGGTTGTATTTCTACAATCCGAGAAGAGTCCTTTTCACAAGATTCTTTGTTTATGGCCGACTCTGATTCTTTATCCTTAGTTATAAGGTTTTCAAAGAATTCTACATCCCGGGATTCAACAATAATATTAGACTCTAAATTTAACAGTCTATATGCTTTGCTATTTTGTGCATATCCTACAAATGCACATCTTATCCCTCGAGGACCCAACTTGGTTCTCTTAGGATCCATGTTTTTGTAATATGCCACACACCCCCACACCTTAAAGTAGCCAATATTTGGTGTCATGCCCTTCCATACCTCATATGGAGAAATTCCACTTTTCTTTAAGGGAATTCTATTTATTATGTGACAA